TCCATTCTCTGAAGAAAGCAGCGAGAATGTATACAAGAGACTGCAATCCTGGTCAGTGTTGGGAAATTTTAACGTTGCAATATCTAATCAAACCCTGATTGTACTGGTTCAGTGAGCCACTTTGAAAAGCAAATTAAAAAAATTAAACAGCAAATAAATAAACAAAGAAACAAACAAATAAAATGAAATTGGGAGTTGAAACCTATACTACACTGACTTTATAGACTGACAGCAGTGTTCCTGGGTGTGGAAAAAGACTTAGGAGCAGGAGCACAATTCAGAGGGGGAAGGAATCCTTTTCAGGATTGGTTGCAGTTGCAGACATGATAACAACTACTGATGTGCAGCCCAGGATTTGAAACTGGGTTTTAACATACATTTAGGAGGAATGTAGAATATCTTTTGTTGTTTCTGCCTGGAACTGTCAGCTGATTGACTCCTCTTTCCTCCCAGACCTTCTGCATTTAGAATCCATTTAGGACATCTTGGAAATTTTCTGATCTTAGGAAATGCCTATTCTTTGCTTCTTGAGAAAGTAAATTGGCATTAGATATTCCAAGGCTGAGCTTGTTTCCAACAATGTGTAAGTTCTGTGAATGCTATTAAAGTCTGTCTGATTTAAAGAAAGACCATGGCTGGTACTTTTGAAAGAGACCTAACTCTCATGTGTATTGCATCCTCATCTCAATGAGCTTTGGTCCAGAGAAGTTGTTTTCAAAGAGAAGACCTGTGCATAGTCTTCTGGCTTGATTTGAGGGTTCAAAAAACATTCAGAACATCTACAAAAATGACAGATTGAAAGAGATCCTGGAAATGTAGGCATTCTAGGGTGTTCCCAGATACCAATTGCTTGTGCCTCCACTCAGTGCTTTGGGCCTGTTGTGAATATCACCTTCACATTCATGAATTAGAATCACAGTGGCAAGGAAGCGTCACTCACAGGGATGATAGAGGTCGCACCAAACCCATTGCGTGACCAGCCTCATAATTGCTTTATGAACTTAATTCCACAACTGTATGCTAACTTAGTCTCCTCTTCTTCAATGAGGGTAGCTTGGATACCACAGGCTAGGGAAGGAAAAGTGACCCAGTTGTAGTTAAAACAAAACCCTACTGTTTTTCTTCATGGTCCTGTCCCACCCTACAGCTTTTCTTCTGACTCTCCAAGTAATAATGAGGCATTATAAGCTGGCTGTGTGACCTCAGCCAACAACTACTAAAAGCTGTGCAGACTGTGCTCTCGAAAGAGAGCTGGCTCTCATGTGTAGATGGAAGTTCGTGTCCTGCCTGGTCCCATAGCTGTTTAGTCCCAAATAATACACAGAAGCTTATATTAATTATAAACTGTTTGGCCAATGGCTCGGGCTTTGTATTGGCTAGCTATCTCTTAATTATTAACCCATTTCTATTAATCTGTGTATCTCCATGTTGTCTTGCTTACTGGTGATGCCCAGGCTTCTTACTTCCTTGGATGCTACATGGCATCTCCTTCATGACTCCCTCTCTACATTCCTCTTCCTAGAATTCTCCTAGTTGGGTAGCTTTGCCTATGCTTCCCACCTGGCTACATCCTACCTGTCCATTGGCTGAAACAGCTTTATTCATCAACCAATAAGAGAAACATATACAGGAGGGCACCCCCCATCACTCGTGTGTGGTGTATCCTCACTGGAAGAATGCATCCCCAACGGATTCTTCACATTGAACCTGCTTTCTGAATGGTGCTTGAAACACATTTGCTATCAGCATCATCATTTGATAAGAGGGAGTGTACTATTCACAAGTCTAGTTACTAAATGACCAATCTGATACCCAGAATAGGACCACATGGGACAAGGGGCAGGAGGGAGGTTTGACTTCAACCCACATTACTGCAGTGGCATGCAGGTTTGGCTTGTACTTTATCTGGCTTTGCCCCTTCGCATATTGGCTGTGACTCTGTCACAAGGGCCAGCTTCCCATGAAGAGAAGGCAGACATTTCTATGAAGACTGCACAGGTGGCAGGCCCTCCCTCCTTGATGTCTTTCAGATGTTCTGAATCAGTTCTTCATAACTACTACTAGCTTAACACTAAAGCACCTGGGTTCATCCACAGAAAGGCACCATCCCTGCTCAAATCCTCCCAGTGGGTGGACATTTTAGCTTTCAAAGTCCCTTATCTACAGTCTGATTCTCAAGCTACAAGAGTGCAAAAGAAGGACCATTATCCTTATTTTCAAACTCAGAGCTCCAGGGATTTATTCGGTGTCACACAGTTGGGACTAGAATCCAAGGCCCTTGCTTCTAGAACAGCCAGTTTATTCCCACAAGAAATTATGGGTGGTTTTCCAAGCTACTAGGAGTCATTAAGCACATCCTGTGGGCATGGCTGCAGGTGTATTCCACATTTTAACAGAAAATCTAGCAAGAGTGCATCTGTGTTTTCTGAGCGAGGAACTTTCTGCAAAGCATTTTATTGTTGGGGCACTCATGGTACCATTTGTTTGTCTGTAACTGCTCTCGACTATTTAAAAACTTTTACAGCAGCCCTTTTCATCATTTATGTTTCAATTGGCAGTGTGGTCACAATCTTATCCCCCTTCCTCCAAACTGTGATTGCTTGGATCAAGTAGACAAGAAGTCCCTGGGAATAGGTCACATGTCTTTGCTAACTTACTTCATAGGGTTCTAAATTCCCAGAAAAGGTTTAGAGTTATAAAGCTTTAGACCTCACTTGTCATGAAGTTAATGGGTCAGTAGCTAGGGTGGGACAGACCTCCAAAAGGTGTGTTTGTGCATGCCTTCTAGAGTTGTTTGCAGAACTCAGTTTTAGTTAGAGCCCAACCTGCCTAGACTGTCAGCCCTCCAAACATTTTTCTCAAGATAAAATAAAATCTAGGACTCCTTATAGATTCTTGATTCTTAAATATTGATAGCTAATTCCAGGATTAAAAAAAAATCTTTCCAAAAGCTTGGTTCAGCTGTCTCTATAGATTTCCTGTTCATGATCTTGACCTCCATTGCTTATATATTCCCTCCTTCCTCTCTTCAACTGGATTCCCAGAGCTTGGCTTGGGGCTTAGATGTGGATCTCTGAATCTGATTCCATCAGTTACTGGATGAAAGCTCTATGATGCTAGTTGGGGTATTCACCAATCTGATTACAGGGGAAGGCCAGTCCAGGCACCCTCTCTACTATTGCTAGGAGTCTTAGCTGGGGTCATCCTTGTGAATTCCTGGGAATGTCGCTAGCACTAGGTTTCTCCCTCTATCATCACTCTCCCACTCCATCCCTCCTCCAACTCCACCATCACGTTCCCTCATGTTCTCATCCCCCATCCTCTCCCACTTAACACCTCCCACCCCCAGTATACCCAGGAGATCATGTAATTTCCCTTTCCAGGGGGATCCATTCTCCATGTGTCCCTCTTAGGTTCCTCCTTGTTACTTAGCGTCTATGGAGCTGTGGACTGTAGTCTGGTTATCTTTGTTTTACATCTAGTATTCACTTATGAGTAAGTACATTTCAGTGTTTGTCTTTCTGAATCTGGGTTGCCTCACTCACAATGTTTTTTTTTTCCTAGTTCCATCCATTTAACTGCAAATTTCATGATGTCATTGTCTGTAGCTGTGGAGCCTCCATGGGACTGAACTAAGCCCTCTGCAAGTGGGAGACAGTTGTGTTAGCTTGGTCTATCTGAGGGGCCCCTGACAGTAGGATCAAGATCTATCCTTGGTACATGAGTTAGCTTGTGGGAGCCCATTCCCTATGATGAAATGCATGCTCAGCCTTAACACAGTGGGGAGGGACTTGGTTCTGCCTCAACTTAATGTGCCAGGTTTGTTGACTCCCCATAGGAGCCCTTACCCTTCAGGAGGATTGGATGGTGTGGGGGTGGGGCTGAGGGAGAGGCAAGGAGTGACTGGAGGAGGGCTGAGAGAAAGAACTGTGATTGGAATGAAAAATGAAATTAAAATGAACAGGCAATTACATACATAAATGAAAATAAAATAAAAGAGAAAACATCATCTAAACAGGAAAAAAAAATCTTTGTGGGCCAAACAAAAACACAAGCACACCAAAGGCAAACCATGCAAGGTTTGTTTGTGGCTGTTCATTCCTCAGTCTTTGTTCTTTATAATTATAAACAAGTGGGGCATTTGGAGAGATTTTCCAGGACACAGGGATACGTGCAGAGGCATCTTTATTTCTGAAATGTTGTTTTGCATCTTTTGCATATTTGTAAGGGGATAGAAAGACAGAAAGAACAACAGCTAGAACTCAAGTATATACAGAACCATCCCATGTTCCCCTCTTGGATCTGAGCACTAGATTATCTGCTTTTCTTCCATCTAATACTCCTCACCTGTCTGGTGAGTGAAATCTGTATGCAAAATCCCCCACAGGCATGCAGAGATTGCAGACTGCACAGGAACTAAATGCACACCCATATTCACTAGACAACCCAACTTCCTATACAAGAAAGGTTGCTGCAGTCTAAATAAGTAAGATGCTGGAAATATTAGAACAACCTTCAAACGGCCTTACATTTAAAAATTAAATCCCAGCAATCACTGGTATTTATTTACCTACCATTAGTTATGCCATGACATTCACAAATGTCATGACAAGCAACATAGTTAAGAACTCTCATTTTTAACAATAAAATTAATTAAAAGACCTACATAGACCAGCACTCTCTGCCTGCGACATCTTCAGCTATTGCACAGTGGACTGGCTGCTTCTTTTTGAACTGTTATAGCATCCGTAAGGAGGGGCTTCAGAGTATGAGCAGAGTTGATGCAGGAAGAAAGAAATGAAAAACCCTTTCGTCAGAACATTCTGTAAGCTAGAGACCAAATGTCTAACTAGCTGCAGTGACCCTGCTGGAGTCCCAAATGGTTGTGATTGATGCTGACACAGACTCTGCCCAGCCACTAAGCCAGGAGGAAAGGCCCCTTTTCTTCCTTTTCATCCAGGGTTTTTGCTTGCAGACACTGAGCACCTTTGCTTCTTACTAGAAAAACATCCTTCTCACTGCGTGGGGAAATGGAAGTTCAAGAAGCGGGGCTGGAAAGCAGCTCAAGAGGAAAGATAAGGAGGTGACTGGCAATCTGACCAGTAGGTCTCCTGGGAAGGAGGAGTCTAAATCTTAGAGGCAGACTAGGACAAAATGAGAGCAGAGACAAATCTATTTTTTTTCCTTTAGGTCACCATTGGGAACTGATCTAACCTATTTACACACAATCTCGGGGGAGGTATCTTTAAATAGTTAGCTTGTCACCATCCTTTTCGTCATCTTCCATAATCACTCTGGGACTCTCATCTCCGAGCAGAGTCAAACCTGCAAAACAAAATGTAGGCCTGCAATTAACAATGTCCAATTGAAATTATCAGACAGCCCTGGTGCACCAGGACTGCTCTCAAAGGCATAGTGACCCAGAAATGCTTGTGTGTGTGTGTGTGTGTGTGTGTGTGTGTGTGTGTGTGTGTGTGTGTGTGTGTAACCAGGTGGCCTTATATAACCGTCACATCACAGAGGTGTTCTGTTCTGGGCAGAACAGGAGATAGAGGCCCAACCTTCACCCCTGTCTTACAGTACAGTGGGATCGTCGAAGGCACAGGGTTTTAGAAGGCCTACTGTCAGGGGCTTCATTTCAGTCACTCTTTTAATGTTAGTCTAAATATTCTGTTATCAAGTCTAAAAGGAGGATGCCAATACTCAAAGAGGCATGTGTCAATAGGATGTTTGTAACATGTCCGGCTAAAAGCCACCTCTGTGGGCCAGGGGGATGGCTCAGAGAATAAAGGTGCTTGCCTTCAACCCTGACAGCCTGAGTCTGACCACCAGACCCATGCAGTGGAAGGACAGACTTTATTCCTTCACGTGTCCTCCAACCTCCACGGGCCCAGTGGAGAACATGTGCAGCCCTGTTCATAAATACATATTTAAAAGAATTTAAAGCCACATCTATGATAAACTAAGTGACTTCTTTGCTTTCTATTTTACTTTTTCCATAATTTGCTAGTGTATTTCTCTATTGCATGGAACAGCAAGACTTATAAAGTCAAACCTAACAGCATCAGGAGAAATACTAATTTCTGAATGTCTGCTCCCCAGTATCAGACCTTGGAAGACAGAGGCCAAATACTTCTGAGTGAAGGGAACATACTAGAGTATTCACGTATGGTATGTCCTCACATTAGAGCAATTCTTTATTTGGAGGTAGAATTAAAATATCCCCATTTTTACAAGATGTGGAGATGTCAGCTGAATCCTTATTCAGGCAAAATGAAGTTGCTCTTCCAAAGATTCCCTGGCCTGTGAAGTTCAGAAATTCAGAAAACTTAATTTCCTTTTTTTTTTTTTTTTTTTTTTGTACAATTTTTAAGGGCTGATCAGTTCAGGAAGGGCCACCAAAGGAGACTTGGGAGGTCTTGCCCATTCTGTGAAAGAGGGGCCATTTTAAGAAATGACAAATGAACCTGGGTCAAGACCAGGCCTTGGTCATTTCTGTCATTTCCCTCTAGTCCGCAGCCACATTTCCCAACCACAGCCTTGTGTGCCCTGCTTCTCCTCCTCTCAGTGGGGACCTTCCTGTCCATGCAGGGACCTTCCTGTCCATGCAGGGACCTTCCTGTCCATGCAGGGACCTTCCTGTCCATGCAGGGACCTTCCTGTCCATGCAGGGACCTTCCTGTCCATGCAGGGACCTTCCTGTCCATGCAGGGACCTTCCTCTCCATGCATCGCTTCCCAATGACCTGAGCTTGGGGAATGAATTTGGGTTCTGCATGGAGCTCTTCCACAGCGTTCTCCTCCCTTCAACATCAACAAATTAATGAAAACTATTTGTTGGTCTTAATGACTACTCATTTGATTCAATTCTCTGTTTATATTTTTAACCAGTTAGCTAGTGTTTATTGGAGGGGAAAAACAATTGCAAGTCTGGCTAATGCTAAAGCCGTGCATAAATCACTTATAAAGCACAGTTAGAGAAATTTTCTCTTATAACAACAGCGGCATAGAGTTAAATTTTTATTTAGAAGTAAAGCTACTGTGTCAAGAGCATGTAGAATTAGCTAAGCGGAATGGACTTTGGGTAATTTAAAATTGGCAGACACATTTAAATTGCTGTGTTCTATAACTTTCTAGTTACTTTGGATACCCATGAAGTGTAGGTCTAGAAAATCTGGGCGAGGGGGTGGGGAGGAAGCCCTTCGACAGCAGGAGTAGCAGGAGCATGTTAAGTGGTGAAGGCTGGCCCTTCCTGGATGGGATGGACCAACCTGCCCACAGGGGTACAGAACATAATCCCATGTGTTAAATGAGCCGCTATTTTATATCAACATGAGAAACAATGGCTGGGATAGTTTATAAGGAAAAGATAGAGGATGTGTTGCATTTGGGCTCTTACCAGGGCTCTTGGTTGCTGTGGAGACTGGGAGGTGTTGGAGCCCTTAGGAGGAAGTGAGATGTCTGGGGCCTGCCCTCGAAGGGCATTGGCACCCCATCCTGATCTTCTGTTTTCTTTCCAAGCTACTACAAGGTGAAGGGCTTTGCTCCACCAAGCACCTAACTTTGCACCTCACATTCTGTCCTGCCACCGGCTCAAAGGCAACAAAGCCAAGCCACTATGGACTAAAGCTCTGGCTCTGAAAATCTGAGTCAAATAAAACCCTCCTGGCTTTCAGTTGACTTTCTCGGGGGTTTCGCCACAGTGTCAAAAGGATGACTATCACAGCGGCTCTAAAGAGTCTTGACTGTCTCAGTATCCTGTTCAGAGAATCCACATAGGAATGGGCACACGTCACCACTCTGCTTTTGTCCTCGTTGCTTTGAGGGTTTGAGGAAAACCCAGTCTGGGAAATACTGATGTGGTTTGTCTCACTCCTGGTTTCTGTTCTTAGGAGTCAGAACTGTATCCCCGAAGGCTGCGGGGCACTGAAGTCAGAGCCAGAGCATGTCCCTCTGTCATCAGGTACCATGGAGGAGCTCTCCCAACCCACTCCGGTCTCAGTTTATCCAGCTGGGAAACAGAATTTGCACTTCCTATAGGGCTAAATGCTGCCAGAGAGACTTGGGCCTTCGATTTCCTTTTTCTTGTAAATTACTCATGAGTGTGCATACATGCTTGTGAGTCTACATGTTTTGCAGCTACATGTACACAAGTGTATATAGAGGCAAGAGTTTTGTATCAAGTATCTTCTATAACCACTCTCCATTTTATATACTGAGTCAGGGTAGCTCACTGAACCAGAAACTCAGCAATTCAACCAGTCTAACTGGTCTTTGGCATCCCTCATCTCTCTTTCCTGAGCCCTGAGGGTTCAGACAGGCCCCCATACCTCCACTCATATAAAACAGCTGACATCTGGAGATCTCAACTCAGGTTCTATTCTTCATCCTTTGAACCATTTCTCAAGCCTAGGCCCACATTCTTTAATGCTCTAAAAATGCCCCATAGAATCTCTGCTAAATCACTGCACATTGTAGGAACCCTTGAGCATCATTCAACTTCCCAGCAATCCCCCACATCAACCACCTAGCACAAGACTCAGACATAGTAAGATCAAGCGACTATCAACTCCTCTCTTTCTATGTAAAACAGAATTTAGTGTTTTAGGGCTTCTAGTACTGGATCTTTTTGAGGTGCTCAGCATGCTGTTTCTGACAAAGATCCCACCTAGACATCATCCAAACTTAGCCATCGTCATTAAGTATGTGTTCCTTGAGATACCTTGCACAGTCTAGGTATGTGTCAAGGGTGTCTTGGTTCTGATTCAAAGAAGTGGAGGAGCAGACTTAGCTGACATCCTAGGAGAGGCCTTATCCTCTCAGGAGCAGATGGGAGCTGGGATGGGGGGAAGGAGGGGAAAGAAGGAGGAGAGAGAGAAGGGAACTGGGATTGGAATTTAAAAACAATTAAAAAACATATGTTCTCCTTAAACCTTGAAGAGCAAAGGTACTATCTAACAGAGGTACCACCTGTGCTCATAAACCAAACCAGGGAATCTTTTTCCCCAGAAGAAGAGACATGTGCCATTTTCAGAGGAGGTCCTATCTTCTTTCCTTTGTATAAGTATTCCATTTTTATTTCTGATTTCCAAATGTCCTGTTGGCATTCAATATTTCCTGCTGTGTTGTCTTCATTTTGTTTGGCTCTTTTTGCCACCAATGTAAGACTTAAGCTGCTCTTGGTACCTGTTTCTAACCAATCACAATCAACACTCTCTGCCATGCAATTTTCAAGATAAATCCTTGGCAACTATGGTCCAAGTTCAAACAAAGCCCAGGTCTGGCAGGGAAGCCTTAGTAGGTCCATTCAGGCATTTGGACTTGTCAAATGAGCTCATTAACCTAAGGGAGTGAGACGTTTAGCACAAGATTTAGAAGGGAGAGTGAATCCTTGTCCAGTTTCCACTTGCCAAGGGTTAATGAGAGATGTCTCTGTGGTGTGCTTGCCTGTAAGTTCCTCTCAACACCCTTATTAGAACCAGCACGAGTCTTTCTGGATACCTGCCAAAGGCTCCATCCTTTCCAGCTTAACTAGCATTGCGGTTACTGCCAATTCTTTACATACTAACAGACTCCAGAAATAAAGAACCCCAGCTAATAGAGTAAGTAAAGCCAGGACTGCACAGCAACATCTGCCACTGAAGGCACCTAATCAGAGCCTCACTGACTCAAGGACTTTCATAGTCTATAGAGCCTTCATATATACAACACTATTTAGACACTGGAGTCCTTGAGTAGCCCTTTTGACTCAATAGGGGAGGCTGCTCCTCTGGGATTCAGGTAGGATGTAGTCAGCATCCATTGTCATGGAGTCATAACTCAGTATTTCAGAAGGAAGGCATCAGCCAGCTTGCATGCAGATGTAAAATTTTGTATCCAAGAGAATTTTCCTTCATCTCTGCTGCATTCCCTTCCTAGTTTGGCTCCATCATTTTTACTTGCCCCAGCAGATATCAGATGACCTGTTTGTTTATGTGATTATGGATTTCCTTCATACTAATCCCCAGAAGCTAAGTATTAGCTGATAAATACAAGATTGAAGATGCTGTGATGTTCATATTCTATACTGTCAATATATGTGAATCTTCTAAGGAGGCTGCATGTAGACAGAGTTCAGTAAGCTAGTTTCCAAAGTTGTGTGAGCTGAGCAAGCCAGCGAGCAAGCAAGCAAGAGAGCAGGCAAGAAGGTGTGCAAAAGAGACATAGTCTAATCAGGAATACATGAGCATCCTTCCCCAGAGCTTCCTAGGGACAAGGAAAAAGGAAAATACTTCACTACATTATGTGTGTGTGTGTGTTATCTGATGACATGCCTTAATATAGCTATTGATATTTGCATATCTTCTCTCTCTTCCTCCATCCCTGTCTCCTGTCTTGACAATTCATACATAGAAGTCGAGGAACCATCCCTCAACCATAACAGGCACAATCCACATAAGATGGGAAAGCATGAATTTCACCTCTTCTCAAGGTCCCACTGACGTTTCTGTCCCATTGGCTCAGAGAATTTGACCAGGTCTGCTGAAGCAGGAGTTATTTCTGAGCCTCCTCCACCCCCAAGTCGCCCCTGGGGAACAGCCAAAGAAGGAAAACCCAGGAGGCAGTGGCAGGGTACTCCTCCCTGGGCCCCTGAGCACAGCCGCCATGCAGCTTGCTGGGCTGGGCCACAGGCCACGCCCCTCCCACCTCCAGATGGCAAGGCTCCAACCTGCTTCCACCCCTTCTGTGACAGTTCTATCCCAGCCCTCTTAAAAATTATTACCTGCAACAAAGGGAGGCATGTGCAGGGCAGGTGTGTCTTTCCTCCTTGGCCTTTTCTGTTCCATGTCGGTGCTGTGAAGAGCTGGGCCTGTTTTGCCCTTTGGAACTCTCTCTTGAACATCATATCTGTTAATTAAGTGTTCTGAAATCACACCTGCACGGTTAGAGGAGCAGAAAGAGGAATGGGGTCAAGGGTACAGATCCTAATGCTGAGGGGATGCGCATGGGTACCTAGAGGGCTGGTACCTGGAGAATGCAAACGAAGCAGCTTTTCAAATCTGCTTTCTAAAAAAAGAAGTTTCCTATAAGTACACGAGGATAGTTCTTATCATTGGGCTTTTTCAGTGCCTGGTTTTATTTTGCTTGAGGTGCTTGGCACGGCTGCCACTGTCACCTATCTCAGGAAAGGAGGCAGAAAACTTTCTCCTACTGGTCATAGCTCATACAAAGGTAGAGCCCACATTCCATACCTAGGAGGGGTCATATTTCTGTCATGCAAGCTAGGGGGGGGGTCACACACGTTCAGCCGAGTCCTTAATTATCCCCCCACCTTCATGGACTGTCACCCAGTTGCCTGCTCTGTCATATATGAGGAGACACGTTGGAGGGTGGTGATTACCCATCATTTCATCTTTCTGTAATATCCCATTTTTATGAACATTTCCACAATTACTCCTCAGATATAGATCCATGGTTTTGACCTAAGAACTTCCATTATGGTGCTGGTTCTTGCTGCACTGTTTCTTTAGTGTCCCTCAAAACATGCTGTGAGTAGAAAGGATGCAAAAATAGATGGTCAAAAGTAAAAGGGAAGAAGACAAAATAAAACCGCGGAAGAATAAGCCTATCACAGCATGGTGCAGCACAAATGTTAACTATCACTGTTTTTTGTCTGTTTGTTTGCTTGCTTGTTTTCCTGGGCCTAGGGCTCCAGTGATTCCAGCCTGCTCCATGACCAGGTGATACCTGGGACTGAGGGAGGACCCATCTCAAGTGGCCCATCACTCTCCCATCCTGATCCTACCCCATGTCTGCTGGACGTAGATGCTCCTGGTCACTTTGGAAACCTGTAGGGACTTTATTCTTTGTGTTTTAATAATGTGGTCTTCAGTCTCCAAAACTCAGGATACTTCCTTGTCACCAACTTCCACTGCTACTGAGAGGAAATTTCTACGTTGTAGCTTGCATATGCTACTACACTACGTCAATAGTCTTTTAGAATTGAAAACAAATGTTTAAAGAGAGATTCTTGGAGATGGCTGCAACCTGGCAGCAGGTTCTTGCAGCCATGCAGAACAGGGTGTCTTACCCCTTACCTGGTATGAAAGGTGGGGTGTGCAGTGCAGGTGTATCTTTCCTCCTGGGTTTCTTTTGCTCTGACTCAACATTCATAGTGGCCTGTACATTCTTCCCCTTTCTTGGCTTCTTTTTAAGGTCGCAGTCCTTAATGAACTGGTCTGAAAGGTCATCTGTATTCAAAGAGGAAAAGGAGTGACACACATAAGTCTTGAGTGTCTTTAAGCACATTTGGCCTGAAAAGGAAAAGTTTAATTTTTTTATTTTGTCAATGGAAGAATTGGATAAATGTTCATGCCTTTGTATAGAGACTAGAAAATTAGAATTCAGTAAAGGTTAAAAGGTTAAAAAGTGCTTAACCTTTATTTTCATTTTATGCTCATGGGCATTTTGTCTGCATGTGTATCTGTGGATGCAATGCCAGCAGAGACCAGAAAGGGCATCAGGATCCTCTGGAACTGGAAATACAGATATTGGCTGGCTAGGACCTGTGCACCTAACTACTGAGACATCTCTCCAGCCCCCTGGTAAAACTTGAAATTTAGAGAAATCAGTGAAGTCATCAAGGCAAAGACAAGCAGAAAAATGTGTCTGAATAGGTTTGAGCTACATTTTTGCAGGACAGAAGGGTCACTGTTCTCAGCCTCTTTTGGTCAAGAACCACTTTCCTTAAAAGCCCGCAAGCCATGGGCAACAGGTTCTCCCTGAATCATGGAACACTTCACTATGGTGGAGAGCGAATTGCTTACTTGCCTTACCTCTTCAGGTTGCTAGGTCCTCATGAAAAGCCCTACTCAGGCTTCGGCATCTACAGGGCCTTTTTATAGTGTCATTCTCTGTCTGATCTCTTTCCTTTTCACAGCCCCTTTACTAGATCGTTTCAAGCCCAGCTTCTATGTTACATCATCAGATGTTCTCTCGGTGATGACTCCAGACAAGTCACTAGGCTCTTGAAAACCTTGTCATGGCTGCATCTTAAACCAGACATATTTGTCTGCTCTGCATTCCTATGCACTTATCTACCATCGTCCAAGCCCTGGTCCATTGTTCTAAAATGATTAATCTCCTGCTCCAAGGAGACAAAGATCACAACCTTCTCGGAGTTTCGTTCTTACTTACATCTCTCTCCAACAAGTGTACTTTAAATGGAAGTTGAAGTAGGCTGTATTCACACCCTTAGTTTCTCAGTTGTTGGCTCTGAGAACTTGGGACTTCATTTGTAGATGCGCTGATACCATATCAACTGCTTAAGTGCAGGTGATGTTAAATCCATGTGCACCTGCTTTGTGTATCTGATGCATATCATCTGCTCAGTACCCCACCTACTGGGCCGTTCTTTGCTCAGCCAGAGCTTCCAGTAGCTCAGCAGGATGCTCCAGAGTTGTCAGTCTTTCTTTGTTAACCACAGCCCTGACTATCCTTTCTCATCTCCTGAATATTAATAGCATTTTTTTTTGCTCAGGTAATATTGTAAGGGATGAAGACGGTATTATTTCTGCTGTGACTTTGTACTTTTAAGATCATTTCAGCCCATGAATACATATTTGCTCAATATGGGCTTGAATGAATGGACTCAAATGGACTTAGTATGAAGAGTTATTCTATTGGGATTCAATGAAGCTACAAGACAAAGAAGCTGCATGTTTTCAATAAAAGCTCATGATCCTGGCCTGCATCCAGTCTGTGTATTTCTAGAAACGTGAAAGAATATGGGAAATTCTGGGGTTAACTTCCCCACTCCTCCCTCCTCCCTTCTCTTTCCCTTTTGTTGGCTCTCTTTCTTTTCCCATTCCACATCCCACTCCCAGAATTCTCTGTGTAGCCCAGGCTGGCCTTGAGCTTTTGATACTTTGCTTCACTCTCTTAAGCATTGGGGTTACAGGTGTGTATGGTTATACTTTGCTCCCATATTTCTTCCCTTATTTATATGTTTCTTTAGAAAAAAATGTTGAGATAAATGTCTTTAAAATATTGAAGATTCAATATTTGAACATTTCACTTCATTTTTGGGGGTTCAGATATACCCTGTGTCATTCATTGCTCTATACAGATATGTCTTAACAGCCTAGTATCTGTTAAGTCATTTATTAGATTTGAAATAGTAAGAAATTATTCTTGCCTTCAAGTTGCTTATAGTGCATTGGAGAGATCCTTCTTAGTTCATATGCTTAAGGAAGATTAGAAATATGTAGTAACCATACACCATTGTGCTTGAATCATCAACCATCACCCTATATAAACAGAACAAGTGTCAGATGTCATGGTTCCCTTTGGTGACACTGAACAGTAAGCTTTTCCTTTAACTGGTAGACATTGATGAGGTCACCTAGTAGTCTCGATCTAATTAGCCCTTCTTGAAGCCGTACTCTGTGAGGGCCCTTTACTCTGTGATTTCACAGAGTAAGTGAAGTGTGGGGACATTTTACTGATTTCTTTGTAGCACATGGGCTCCCTCAGTTTATCAATGCCTGTTTTGCCAGTTATTCAATATTCATTCCACTCCTGAACAAATTATCTCATTAATCCACACTAAGCTTACAGTCATGTCCAGTTTACAGATGTGGCCAGGTTATTGTTAAGGGTCAAGTTAGGCTCTTGGAGCTCTTTCTCTGCTATATCGTCTACCTGCATGACACTCGTATTCATCAAAATTGTTACCACAGAGTTGTTTAGTCCCTCTTTCCTGTGTTATACACACTATGGGTGTTGACTGAGTGATGTTGCTTAGGACGATGTTGCCCAGCTGTGAGATTTCTGGAGGCATAGTTTGCATATGAATCCATTAGGGGTGGGCTACCATCCAAATCCAAGGTGCTACTTGGCACCTAGTACAAAGAGCCAGACATTTGTTTCAATTTTGACTTTCATTTCAATTGTAATTTTCCTTATTTTTTGGAGGAATCCTGAACATAAAATATCTTGAAGGCAATCGAGGAGAGGGGAGATGAGACGAGTCATAACCAGACAAGGCATTAACAAAGGTTATGAATATGCAAAAGGCCCATCTATCAAATGTCTGAGTGTCTCATTTTTAGAAATGGGTAGAGGCAGAAATGTTTCTGGTGTTTTCATTACAAAGGTTATGCAAAAAGTCAGTTCTGGAAAGGAAACAGATTGACAATAAAGCAGAAAAGGGCTATTTAAAATTCTGTCTTGATAGGCAAAGAGAGATATTTGAAATATTTTATTGGTGCTGCACATGGAGTTTAAGTGTGCTGGGAAATACTGGAAACAAGCTATATTGCCACATTTCATTTATTGCCTCAAAAATGCTCTGCCTGGGACTCTGTCACATCCAAAGCACAGGACAATGCTTCTCTGCCTCTCTTTGTATCTCTCGAATTTGAATGAACCTCTCTCTAGTATTTCAGCTAATATTTACATGGCAGACCCCACAGACCCATGGCTATTTGCCTATCCATCTGGTGTAGGCTGTTACCAGAAGGCACACTGGATCAGGTTTCAGAGGGCCTTCTCTCTGACTTGCCTGAAAGCAGGATGGCAGAGAACCCTTGTCTGGCTTACAGGACAGGCGTTCCCAAAGGAACACTTACCTGAGCTGCCACAGTGAGGATCAAACTTGTCCAGTATGTCTTCTGAAAGCTCCAGAGGCTGCACTGGCTCTGTGGCCATCATCTCAGTAGCCATCCTCAGTGAGGAGGAGAGAAAGGGGGAGAGAGGGAGAGAGAACAGAAGAGAGAGAGAGTCTCCCAACACTGGAGGAATTAAAGGCAGTAATAAGTACATAAGTATGCCCTCTGTTTATTCATTCACTCATTCATTCAACAAATATACTGACTGCTGAGTGATTATTATTGTAGGCCCCCACTCAATCCTTTTTTGCTCAAGTCTGATTCTTGTAGTCAGTTGCTAAATTTGAAATGCAAGCCAAAAGCAAATGAAACACACACACACACACACACACACACACACATACACACACACACACACACACACACACACACACACACACACAGAGTCTCTTTCCCTATTAGAAATAACTATTCAACCAATATTCATTTCTTTGGCTACTTAAGGGTTCCAGAATCCAATCAAGTCTAAATTAGAAACAAGCTGGGTAAGAGTTAAAGAAAACATCAACCATACATCATGTGTATTTTCTGCGTTGAGCTCTATAGAGTATGATTATATCTATACAACAGATGAGGAATGGGAGCATACAAATTCACAATTAATTTTATTGTCACACATCTTAGTTAAGCTTGGATCAAAGTCTGGTCTCAGTAAGTTTTAAGAGACCTTAGTCTCTTAAAAATAAAGTGAATTCTCTGAACCTAGGGTTGACTAAGTCTCCCTGACCTTACAACTGTAACTTATAAAACAACTCAGCTGCCTCCTCATGCATTCCACGAGGGCAGGAGGTACCCAGAGAGGGAAAGTGTGTTCTCTGTGAATATTTCTATTTTCTTCCTGGGGATTCTTTACATAAAAGGCAGTCTCTTCCTGTCCCCAGATTTCTCTCTTTCCTGGAATCCAAACCCATGAACTTTCTCCATGATCAGTTACAGTCTTGTCCAGAAGGAGTGGAAATCTACATGGATACATGTCAAGCCTGTACTAGAAATGCATTAGCTGAGGTTTCCAGAAAGTCTTCATTAGAGTCTGTTTCTTCTGTTCCCATCTGATAATTTATTGCTGATGTCCAGAATAACATGGGTAGGCTCAAGGGGAGAAGTGACTAAGGTTAAAATGACCAGGCTAATCCTCTTCTCATGAGAGTCCAGAGCCTGCAACATGCAGAGGCACCACAAATCACCCACAATGACAGTTTGGGAGCCCAGAATGAATTAAGTCCTTTGCCTTTGAAGACTAGGCCACTGTTCTCTGGCAAGGCTGAGGGATTCTCCCCCATGAGCTGAGGTCATTGCAGAGCAGATGGGCCATTAGCTGATCCCTTGAGCCTAGCTTTTAGTGTCACTCTTAGCAGACTGTGTGAGTGACTTCAGCAGAAATCAATTCAGACTATTGTTCTCAGTGTCTGGGTAGAGAGTGCCAACTCCCTGGACCTGTAAGGAAGCGTGCTGTAATCTTCTGTAGGCTGTCCTCCTGTGCCAGTATATTGGAACAGGGAACTGTCACCCAGGAAGAGTGGGCTCTATGCTGAGGATGTCAATGTGACAGACTCGACGTGGTCCTATTTCGTGACGCTTCCTCCTTTCTGCAATGGATGTCACAGGTGTGCTGCTCATCACCCCATGGTGATTTGTTGAAAATATCCATCTTCATATCAACTGAAGCTGAGAGGTTTTCAACTGACCTGCCATGACTCATGCACTCAACCGGAATTATTGCAGTGACTCAGGTCCTTACTGTACACACTTGTCAAGTGTGTCTGCTCCACTCCCCTTGTCCTCTCCACATGAAAGGACATTTCCTGTGAGTCCGGTAGTTGGTTATTTACTTTGGATCTATGTTTTACTTGAAATAATTATACCTTTCCCATAGAGTTCCTGTGAAGGTGTGTTCAATTGTCTGGTGTTTACCAAAATGAATGTACTTTCTGTTAGATGGCTACTATTATGTGCCACTGTCTGTGGCAGTTGATGAGAAGCAGCAGTGTAACTGAAAAATCCTAAGAAATAGTAGAAACTTTCACTTTCATGGAGATGCTGAGCTGGGGAGAACCTGCCTTCCTCTGAGATAAGCCATCTCATCAGCAGTGGAACATCAAAGGAGGAGCCTACCCACGCTGGTGAGGCATACATGACCAGGATTTCAGAGTCCCCTGCACAAACTGGGGCTGCCAATACCTTGTCACAAACCTGACAAGGGCTCCTCTAAAAGAGGAAGTAATTTTCTCTTAAACAGATGTGATTGAAATCTAACATTGCTGGACTGCTGTTTGATAGTTTGATTGGGAGACCATTTTCAGATCAGAGATAATTGGCAGAGATGTTTTGCCCAGAAGAATACAAGACACTTTAATCTTGGATGATATCATTACAGTGGTCCTGTCATGAAATCTTCAAAGAAAATAGAGATGTTCTAAGAATGATGGGGGAGTGTCAGATTCAGGGGGCTGGTGTGAGATGAACAGAGCCCTGCCCTGTTCTCCACTCCCATCCTCAGAAGAAAGGAAGCTTCCTACCATGGGAAGATACAGGTCTGTCTCATTCCTTCTCCCCACTCTGCCCATGCATTCCCCCTTAGGCTCTGTCTGAGTCCCAAACATGTTATCATAGAAGACCATGCACTTGCCATGATGTACAGGGAAGGTTTCTTTGGCTCCCTTGCCTGCTGTCTGTAATTTTGGGAGTTTCTGGGGAACCAGTTATTTTCTTCAAACCTAAATAATTGATCCCCTGGGTCCTCAGATTCCAACCCCCCTGCTAAGGCCTTCGGGGGCACTTTTTTTTTTCACAGAGACTTTTCACTAGGGTGTTTCATAATGACTCCTTCATCGTTTTCTTGCCTCATGCTGCCTCAGCAGGGTCTCTGAATTCTCACTTTCATGCAGTGATGAGTATCAGCATAGGCTCACCCACCCTCACCTGAAGCCTAATGTGCTGTGGGAGCCAGGGCACTTTCATTATGTAAGATTCCCAGAAGGGCCTCAGGGAGCCCCAGCAATCTCATGCATTATTTCTACAGCCAAATGCAAGTATTCATAATAAAGGGCGCAAGGAGACTCCATGAAGATTCCTATCCCTTCAGGTCAGGGTTTGTTACTAGGAGTTTATGGGAGCTGTATAACAACGGCAGCACTATCCTTTGTCCTTTCTGTTGCTCAGTTTTCAGACGTCTCAGAGAATAAAAGGCCGATTATCTGAAGTGTTTTCTTGGTGGTTATTTGAGAAAATGCAGGAGGCCCGTAAATAGTGTGCACTAGACCAAGTCTTGACTTCAGAATCTTAGGTAGATTTCCAGGATTCAATATGTTAAAACCTTGCAGCTTTCTTACTAACTCTTCAAAAGACACCTAGCCTTTCTTTCTGCTGGAATGCCTGCAAATGCAAACACCACTAGAGAGAAGACCCATAAATTGTTGTCATCCTGCACAGCCAGTGCTGATGACAGCTGCCACTTAATCCTTTGAGTCAGAAGGTATAGGTGCCCAAGAAGATGCCTTGTTAAGAAGAGACAGAGGGCCAGTGTGTATCAGGATAGGTATGACAACTCAGATGCCCACGTTGCTGAGGTTCCTCTCCACTCACCCAGGCTACTTTCAAGGGGACAACTGTGATGCCTCTGCATACACAGAAGTCACAAGCTGGCCTGAGCATTTTGTCTGTTCTCTTAAGAGTGTAAGGATATGCATTTTAATCCATGGGAAGGACATTGACTCAAAGATGATACACTGTGAGGAAGGCAGCTCTAGGCAGAAATGGTCTTGGTGACCTTCTCCACTCTCTAGTTGAGTAGCAAGGTATTATTTTGCAAAGTTATTTTGCAAAGTTTCACATCTGTACACTTTATCCTAACCAAAAGGCCAAGAAGCCATAGCTTTTATATCTGTAATTAGGTTTGTGCCAGATACTGTTCCCTAGGGCTGTTGAGGGTGCTAGTCTCCAGCCAGAAGCCTGGCACACACTGACCCTTCTGTGAGTGAATGCCTTCTTTGCTTGCTCAGTCCCTGTCATTATAATACCTATATGCAAATCACTCTAAATCGTCATAGTCATACCAATCTCATCCTAGTTCTGGCCTTTTCTAAAGCCGCTAATGAATTTAGTACCCCCAAAGACATAAACCAAACACAGATTACCCTTCTCCGGGCCTCAGGATCAACAGAAGCAAGTCTCAGAAGTAGATGGACACACTGTTAACCACATAATATTCTAAAGAGCATCCGCAAACAATGAAGTCTAGCTTTACTTGATGTACTAAAAGCTTTACTAAAAGGTTTGGGAAAATTACACTCCACAGTTGAGTGTAAATCTGGTTAGGGTTCACTCTGAATTTGCACAGTTCATATCTTTGTCAACCTCTTTTAACTGAGGGTTGAATCGGGGCCCCGGAGCACCACATATGCAAATAGGATTTCTTCACTTGGAAGTCCAAAGACTGCATGCAGTCTTCTTCAAGGACTGACTGTGCTGTGGAGTAGAATGTGAGAAGCAACTGAAGCAAGCACACTTTGCCCGCATGGGCAAGGTGTCCTCCCAGTGTGAAGGCACATCACACTCAGCTCCAAATCACAAAAGGTTTCATTCGGGAGGATAGGGATGGTCACAGGACTCAGGACCCTCAGACCCTCAGAAAATGAGTGTTACAGTTTTGACTTTGTCCACCCCAAGGAGCCCCAGCTTAGCCTTGCACACTCTGCTTTGTCCCACCGAACACAAGAAAGCAGTAAGTTACTGGCAATTTGTTTTTCATCACAAAAGTTCCTGGAGTAAAAACCCAAAGCACTTACCAGTCAGTGGAGGTGCTGCGCTGAGAAGGCAGAGAGAGGCTAGAGGTGGTGTGCTCAGGGCTGGGCTCCTACTCCTCAGCAGCACTGGCTGCCTCTGCCCCACTCCAGCTCCTCTTATCTAGGGACCAGCTGCTGTGGTTGCCATGGGGATGTTCTGTTTCTCAAGCACCAGGGCCAGGGGAATGGAGAGGGAATGATAACTAACTTGGTCATTCCTGCTCTCTACAGCAATGATTGTGTGCTATTAACAACAGCACGTGGAAAGATCTAGGTTGAGTTCTCAGAAATCTACACAAA